GATGGTGGAGTGTGTGGAGCATGAACATATACAGCTGATGGCAGTGGGCTATGTGGAAGTGGACCAACTTAGTATCCCCCAGTCTGCTGAAGTGGTGTGAGACGTGCCTCAGGGCCTGCCAAGGCAAGCGCCCCACAACAATCTCCAGAAGACTGGGGAATGCCAGTGGGTAGGGATCAGAGATGGGTCTATTTGTTGTGTCATGGGAAAACATGGCCCTAGACCTACAAGGAAAATCTATAAGCCCTCCCTTAATTAAGGAGACATTGCAACTAGTTGCTTGGGACAAATAAAAAGAAAACAGGGATGAGAGTGATGGTCTTAGGTTAATCATGAGTGCTCCAAAGGAGGACACCAAGCAGAGCATACTGGCCAGTGCCCATTGTCCCCTAAATGAGTCCAAGGAGCCTGTGGATGCCAACCAGTGAAGCTGTGCCTGGAGACGTGAGCGGAGGAACCACAGGAAAATAGCTGGACACACCCAGCCAGAGCCTCTTCCTGGTCTGGTAGATGAACAGCTTGACCAGAGCCAGGAGGAGACTGATCAGGAAGTTCCCAGATGTGGGGCCATGGACAGGGAGTACCTAACAGAAAATATGCAGGAAGAAATGCATCCAGAACCTCAGCAAGAGGTTCTGAAGGAGGCAGAAACTGGCCTACAGTTTGATACACTCAAGGTAGCTGTGCGCCAGGATCTCCCTCTGCTGGCAGAAGGGGCAGACGTTGGGGGTATCTTTGAAATGCACTAGATACACGCCCATAGAAACAGAAGTCACCAACTAAAGTCCCCAGTGTTTTGTGGGGTGAATGTGGAGTACAGGCTTGTCCACCAGGGACCCTCACCCTTGCTGAGGGTATCCACCACTTGGTGTCTGAGTGGGAGACAAGGACAGGATGGTGGATCCTTTGGAGCATGAGCATGTAGAGCTGGCAGCAATGGGCTGTGTAGAAGCAGAGCAGCTTGGTATCCCCTGCTGAGGTGGTATGGTGGGGAGTGCTGCAGAGCCTACTGAGGCAGGGGCCCCACAACAAACTCTGGGGGCTGGGGCCTAGCAGTTGATGGGGATCAGAGCAGTATACTGGTCTGAATGGACCATTGATCTGACCCAGTGTAGCACTTATCTTATAATCAACATGTGCTTGGTTTTTGAAGGTTGATCCTATGGATAAAGAGCTTCCTATTCCTGATCTGATCCTGAAGCAAGGGCTAATTACCTCTCAGTAAGAGCTTCCTGCTTTCCCCTTGGCAAATCTACCTTAACAAAAAAAATAAATAGACAATCTGGACTATACAGGTAGAACTTTTAAAAGCCCGGTAAGGCCCCAGGTCCTGAATCCTAGGTCACTTTTGGAAATAGAACTTAGACTCCTGAAAGTGTTACCCTTGGTCCAGAAAAGTCTGTTTCTTTCTCCTCTTACATGCTGCATCACAGATGACATAAAGCGGATTGTCAACTCTTGCCTTTGCCCTGCATTTCATCAGCTCCAAGGACTGCTCTGCTCTGGCAGTCATACATTAATCTTGCACAAAACTCCACAATGGCAGCCCTCAGCAGCCACATTTTATTCATGGGGAGAAGACCCAATAATCTTATTCTCCCAATTTTTATAACAGATGGCAGGGTAAAGCAAACCTGGTTATATGACTTTTATGTCAAGTACTTTAACACGTGACTTGTTAGAATCTGTTTCGTAGTTCCATATATGAACAACAATAAACCTTTGGCTTATCTAACCTACATAAAATGCTGATGTTGCCAAGGTTGCAGGGGTGTAGGTTGTAGCCGTGTTGGTCTAAGAACGTAGGCAGACAAGGTTCCTTGGGTGAATTTGATATCTTTTATTAGACCAACCCAAATAGTTGGAGAATAGTTATTAAGCAAGCTTTCGAGTTCAAAAACCCTTCGTCAGGCTAAGGAAGTTTCAGCAGTTGGTGTGTGCTCTTCCTGGATGGAATGAAAAGTAAAGAAGCCAGGGGCTGGGCTGGGGAGTCAGTTGCCAGGCAGATTATAATGTGTCAAAAATCCAATGTCTATGTTTAGTCCATGATCTCTAGTATCCAGGAGGTTGATGAAATGGAGCTCATAGGCTCGTCTCTGGGAAGTGCTGTGTAAGTTTCCCTTGAGGATCAGGACTGAGAGATTGGAGAGAGAGTGGCCCTCCTGCGAGAAATGTGCCCCCACCGGTAATTGGGTATTTCTGTCTTTGATGTTGCCAAGAACCTTCATGTCTCAGAAAATCTGGGATTGCAGTGGTAACTTCTAGAGTGAATGTGATTTTTTCCCTTGTGTGAAACCAAAGGAGTTATACCACTGTGCTTTGAATCTTAGAAATGTAGGGCTGGACGGAACCTCAGCAGGTCATCAAGTCCAATCCTCTACTCAAGGCAGGAACACCCCTACTCAGACCGTTACATGCAAGTGCTTGTCTAGCCTGTTCCTAAAACTACAAAACAGGAATGGAGGGGTTTAGATTATTTCCATTGTCACCAATGTATTCAAAACACAGCTTCTATTAGCAAATTCCTTGCGGTCTCTTCATAGTACCTGATGAAGTAACCTGTTGCTTATGAAAGCTTGTGTGGCAGAAGGCCACCTCTGTTTCTCCCCAACAACTCCGCTCTGTGACAATTTGGTTAGCATGGGCCCAGAAGAGGATACACACCTTACCCTATCTCTTTAGGTAACTTGAGCTGGATACATTCCTGAGGGAGGGGGGAAACCTGCTCCCTCTACCTACGTGACTGGCATCACATACCTGGGTGAGGGGCTTGGGCACCCTGGTGGGCTAGAGACTGCCAGTCTGCCCAGCAACCAGTGATGCATTTCAAATTGATTGGCTGATAGCCAACACGTGCTGGCCTCCATTGGACCAGGTAAATGAGGTCATAAGGGCTATATAAATTAAGGACTGCCCAGGAGGAGGGGGCAGCAGCCATGAGGAAAAGTCAGAGAGAGAGAAGAGCTGGACTATCTAAAACTTGCTCTCTTTCTCAAAACTCATGATCAATGAACTGCCTGCCTCCAGAGGGAATCTCCACCTGCATCTGGACAATACTTGTGAGTAAGCTACCTGAGATCTAACTAGATATATAGCTTGCAGTAACTCAGATGTGTGATCAAAGGCTGCCCCAGCCACCCTGTTTGCTCTATGGGATTTCTCTGATACTACTCAACTCTGTACCCTATTCCACCCTCCGCAAGAGAAGGTTGAGAGGCAGCCTTGTGGCTGCCTATAAGTTCATCACGGGTGCACAGAAGAGAATTGGTGAAGTCTTATTCACCAAGGCGCCCCCGGGGGTTACAAGAAATAATGACCACAAGCTAGCAGAGAGCAGATTTAGAGTGCACATTAGGAAGAACTTCTTCACAGTTAGAGTGGCCAGGGTCTGGAACGGGCTCCCAAGGGAGGTGGTGCTCTCCCCTACCCTGGGGGTCTTCAAGAGGAGGTTGGATATGCATCTAGCTGGGGTCATCTAGACCCAGCACTCTTTCCTGCCTATGCAGGGGGTCGGACTCGATGATCTATTGAGGTCCCTTCCGACCCTAACATCTATGAATCTATGAACCCTACTTCTTGTAACCAATAAAGTTCTCCTTTGTACCTAGCGTGGGAGACTTATTCGGAGTGGGTCTAGATTATGCCTTGGGGTCCCCTTGGTTTGGCTGACTAAAGGAGACCACTACTTGTGCTTCCAACTGAGGGAAGCACCCCAAGTTCTTGAAGTGAGTCAAGTACCCTTGAGGGCTACTAGGCCTGTGTTTCCCAGGGGCACAGAGCCAGAATCAAGCCCATCCCTGGGTGGTGGCAGCTCTACCCCCAGGCTAGCAGGTGTGCTCCAGGAAGGGGGTCAGTCAGACATGAGGAGCCCCCAGGAAGGCACTCAGAGCCTGGAAGGTGGTCGGACGCAGTGAGGTGGGTGGCTCAATACAGGAGCACCCCCTACTGGCCTGCCACAGCTTGCACATCTCTTATTTAGTCAATAAAATGCAACTCTACCTTGCCTGACCTTAGATTAACATGGCTAACTACTTTTCTCTACCAGTGTATAGTCCAGTCAGGCTTCTCTTTGTCATATTGTTGTGCTGTCGTTGATTCCTGGAGATACCTGCCAGCATAATGGAAAGGAGTATTTGAACTTTTTATGCCGTCAGCCTTTGGCTGGCAAGAAAGGCATGTAAAGTAGTACTGCTGTTGCACTAATTTAAATAAAGTGTGGGTGTGAACAGATTGCAATGATTGGTGAGATTATTCCAGTGTCAAATCCTAATTTAATGAACACATAAGCAAAATTACTTCTACAATACTATGCCCAAAGCAGTATTCTTACGTAATCCTTCCAAACAATACATGATGACTTGGCTGGCTAGGCATGATTAATTGTTCTTTTTCATGCCTGTTGCTCTCCACCATCTGCCTTCAGCTTTTTCTTTTTTATTACATATTTGGCTTCACCCCATTATATAATATTGCCTGTCCAGTTTAACTGTTTCCCTGGTTTTGCTTCCCTTTTCTATTTTGGATACCCACATCCTGTTTTTCTTGCTGTGTAGGTCTGTCTTAAGCGGCTCTGTGTTTGCTTCACTTTTAGATAATTGCACTGGATACATAAAATGGCATTGCTTATGCTAAGCATTTTGCTAAAATGGTTTTCAGGTCTATATTGTCAATGTGTAGAGGGTTTTTAAAGGTGCTACCAAATGATGCACAATATGAGATTGAGTCAAAATGTATTGTCACTCTGAAAAAATGACTCTGTTAAAAATTTAATTTGCAGATCTCATACACTTATCTCTGTCGGAGAGCAAATCCATTCAGTAAGAAGGTGCCATAGTCAGTTTTCAGAGGAGAATGGTAGTTCTAGATTCTTGGATTTTATATCCACTGAGATTTTATATGTTCAGATTTATTATAGGAGAAGACTGACCTCTAAAGTGAATGGAATCCATTTAAATCAGAGTTTACACTGGATGTAACATTTTTTCTTCCTCTCTTCTCAGGACTCTGATATGCTTGCTTGCCATAATTACTGGCACTGGGCTCTGTATTTTATTGAAAAGGTATGGGGACATTGCTATATCTATGATGCATGTTACAGCAACCTGAAAAACAGGTTTGATCTGCCCTCTTTCATTTTAAATATATTGATGCATTTCTGAATGCACTATAATAGTGTTTGTACTGTTGCTACTTTATTCAAATATTTCTAAATGATGTCATTATTTGAAGTATAATATTTTAAAATTATCTGAGTTAAAAAGCAGAGAGTTTAGTGTGAAGCCATTAAGTGCCCCTGCTGTAATTGCATGTTCGGCGCACATGTTTTGATATAGTGATGAAACCCATCTCTGAAGTCCTGAAAAAGGCAAAAATCCTATTAATTTAATACAAATACTGCCTGCAGAAGAAGTGTGGAGGGCTACAGATTGCCTAAATTGCCAGGAGAGACCCAAGATGGCCCCTATGACAAAGAAATCTGATATCATATGATGTTAAATTTTCCCTGTTCCTGGAAGTATTTGAGATGTATTGAAACACTTAATCAAACTATTTATACTCAAACTATTGGACTGCAAAACCTTTTGTTTGCTTTTACTAATGCTTTAACAGCTGTGAATTGTTTGGGGCAAAACTTAGCAGAGAAATAACTGTTGGTGTGCATGTAGCAAAGCAATGTAAGTTAGTCAGAGTTCAGTGGCAAAGAGTGTACCTTGCCCCAGTTTGGGAGTTACTTTGGGACACTGCATTCTGAAAACCATCATTCCATTGTCCTTTGCTTTTACAGGGTGACTATGAGGCTGCTTTGACGATTTATGATAATCATGTGAGTAGGGATCACTTCTTTATAAATGGCCTGGTATGCACATACATATTTCTTTCTGTATTTAACATAAAGGAATTCATGGTGTGATACAGGTTTCTGTTTTATTAATAAATGTTTAATTGGCAGCTTAGGGCAAGGGTTACTTAATTAATAAATAGACATGCGAGTTAGAGATCCCAAAATGTGAAAAGATTCTCACGCCATCATTTTGTTTATGCCAAATTTTAGAAATGATTTAAAATTTTGCCTTAGTGTATTCACAGTAGCATTTTTCATCTTTAGCCAGATTGCATTAATTGCTGTGTAGCCTCCTGCTGTATACAGTCCCTGGATGGACTAGGAAATAAAATATCTAATATGACGTAAAACACATTTTCTGTAAATCCAAGATGTCTTGAGTAAAGTCTGAGCTCATAGCTTAGATGACACACTAGCTTAGTCATGTTTTTCCCCACATTTCTAAGTAATGTGTTTAAAGTGCTTTGCTGACTGGATGTCAGGAAAATCTCTTAAAATGATCCACAGGCAATGAATAAGGAGTCTGCATAGCACATCTCTTAATGTCTGTGTTGTATTTCAAACTCTATGATAATATCTTGTCCTGCCTAGTAACTGTTGCAAAGTATGGTATTGTTTGTGGAAGAGTAGAGTTTTCAGATATGTTATATTTGACTTCATGAAAGGAAAAGTAACATGGGTAATATGAATTATCGGATTTGTAGATTGATATATTCATGAAAGATGAAATCTGGGTTCTTGAAAATAGTTGCATCTGGAAGAGTAAAAGGATGGAATGAATTTTACATTGTTAAGATAAGTTTCACTTTCAAATTAACTCTTTACTTATACATGGATAAAGCAACATGAGAATTCCTTCTGATTGCAGATTGGTCCCAGGTGTGCAGCAAGTGGAACTATGCTAGATGTGGTTGATAACTGCTCTATGCTGTACCGGCTTCAACTAGAAGGTAATTTCTGCATCAATGTCCTCATTCTTCTTTAAAGATGGGAGGACAAAGCTCCACTTTTCCTGCATGCTGGAGGAGCAGTATTAGAGGGAATATACAGAGCAAAGCTGAGTGATTTGTTGTTACAGGGAGAAACACTTCCAATCAATGCTTTCCTTGGGAGGTGAATTTTAAGGTTATATTAATGTGCGTTACTTTTATTTCTCCCCTGAGTTTTTTTTTTCTGGCCAGTACAGTATTCCATTCAGCTAAGCTAATGTAAGTCACATTTTTCTTTACTGACTGATTTCTTTTGCTTGGTCCCAGAAGATGTGTTTTCAACAAGACATTGAAAGATTAACTGCATAAGCTATTAAACGGCTGTCAGGCTTCTCTTGCAATAAATATCTAGTCAACATTAATATTTCATTCTAAATGTTGGTACTGATTGAAATAAGAACTCTATGCATGTACTATATCAGTCATTCAGACAGTTTCAGAGACCACCTAAAAAGCCAAAAAAATTTCACTCTAACCCTTTTAAAGAAGAGATTAAGCTAGAGAAAAAAAATACTTACCCACTTACTAAGTTTGTTTAATTACCATAGAACTCTGCTTCATATGGTCATGATGAACTCTGCAATTGCATTCTGAACTGGTAATCACATGCTCCATGTGGATAGAAAATTATGATTAGGCCAGAATGCCAACTAATTATGCTTTGGATATTGGTGATAATTTGTTGATAAATTATTAAATACAAGTATGAGAATCATACAGAGTTCTGCTGGATATAGAAGTGTTTTTTTTTTAACTGTAAGATCAAGGCTTATGGTGTTGATTGACTATAAAGCAGAAGTTCCCAAACTTTTTCTTATTGTGTACCCCCTTTCAGATTTACCAGCTGCCTGAATATCCCTACCAACAAACATTTTGTATTTTAAGCCCTTAAATGACAATTATTACTGTACCCGCCTCCGTTCCACCAGGAGTTCGCGCGCCGCCTTCGCCCGGACCCGATATCTTGCACACCCGGACTTCGTTGGTACACCCCAGGATTTGCCCCGCCTGGTATAAAGGGAGACCCCAGAACTCGCCTGCCACGACTTTGATGACTCTTTCAGTGGGGGGTCTTCCCTTAGGGCATCCCCCGGTGCTGGCGCGCTTCTTCACGGGTACTCTCGGGGCTCCGTCCTCCCCTACACCCAGACCATACGCCCCCTCAGGTCTTCCTATCCTGGCCCCCGATCCGTCCTCATCTCGCCCTCTCTCAGTTCAGTCCCGCTGGCGACTACCAGCAGTCTTCGGACCGGGCGTGCCTCTCCCCGTAGGGATGCTGACCGGATCCCTCCTTCCTTGGGATGCGGATGTCCCCTCTGCTCCCCCAATAGTTCCTGCCGCAGTTACCCGTGCCGTCGGCTCTGTAGTGCGGAGTACAGCTGGCCCCACTCTCGGTGCAGCTGTCGCGCCTCCCGCCG